AGACGCGGCCTCGGCCCGGCGAGAGTGGTTCTGACAAGGCCTCCTGCATTTGCCCTTAAAATGGGCTTTTGTTAGAGGAATGTGTGTCGGTTCACACGACAGGTATTGTCAATGTGAGAAATACTGGTTTTCACCCACAGTTTTTTAAGACCTTTCTTACTCCGTATTTTCACTTTAATTTTTTTTTTTTTAAATCAATTCACCATGTCCACATTAGTGCCCAATTATTTGCAAGCATTTAATTTCATGAGCTCTTCAGATCAGTTCCCCGAGTGGCTGAATTCGTCTTTCTGGCCCCTTTTTATTCTCTCTGTTTAAATTGTTGCTGTTTTGTTGATGTCTTTGTTAATTAATTCGTGGTGAGTTTAAGTTGTAAGGTAACATGAAATCTGGAATGTGTTTATTTTTGAGGGCGAGGGCTGTTTGTGACTGGACAGCCTACTGTATACAGGCAAGCCAGGGAATGATATTCTTGCAGCTTCCCGCTGTGAGATGCAGTTAGACGCTAAAAAATTGCTTTTTCTCAGAGCAGTTAGGACTTTGCCCTTCCTTTTTGTTCTCACCATTTCTTCCATGCCACCTAACCCTGTGGATATGTCATCTCGTCAGTCAAATAAAATAGTTCCATAGCTAAATTGTTTCTTACGCTCTGGAAGTCTGATTTTAAGAGGCTGCCGATAGCGTTAGTTGGCGTTGACTGGAGTGTCTGATATTTATAACTTCAACGTTTTAGGCGTTTAAAGATACTGGCAAAGCACCTGTGGAACAAGAGGTAGCAATTCATCGCATTAGAATTACTTTGACAAGTCGCAATGTAAAATCACTTGAGAAGGGTGAGTGATACTTTTTTTTTAAACTGAGGTAGCTTGTTAAGTAATGAATGATATATATGATATTGCAAAACAGAAGGTATTGAAACTAGTTGTAATTAATGATGTTAGCGTTTGCCTGTTTGTGACTTGGCTAACAAAGTCAACCCGAAGCGCTTCATACGCTGACAAGTAGATTCTAGTTTAATTTTTAATGGAAGCTAGCGTTTGGGGTTTTTCATCATGCTGAAAACATCCTGTCATAATGACTAATGCAAGGGAGTGCAGCTTCTTCCCTTTCGTTCTCACGGGGGTTTTAGTTGTTGCTGTTTGAATGGCACCGGTTTCTTGGTCGATATTTTGTCACTCTTGTTACAAAGCATTTAGTTTAGAAGTTTAACATTCTTTAAGAAATTATTTAGCCTTGTTTAGGAACTGGCTTTGCCAGGATTTTAATCATATAACGTAAACGTTGTAGAATCACTGTTTGATGCAGGATCTTCAGGCTGGTAACAGCTTGAATACAGCTTAAACGTGTAGTAATGGCTTTTGCCTACTGTTGCAGCATGATTTTGCTCACCACCGCGTAACGCTTCCACTTGTATGTGGTTGGCTATGAGGATAACTCTTAAAATGAATAGCAATGATCGCTTCATACGCTATTCTGAGCCAACACCTTGTTTGGAATCTTCACTTAAAAAAACAAGCAAAAAAAAAAAACCAAACCTGAGCTATTTTGTATTTTTTTCAGTCTGTGCTGACTTGATCAGAGGCGCTAAGGAAAAAAATCTGAAGGTGAAAGGACCTGTTCGTATGCCCACCAAGGTACTTAACACTGTTTTCCTGTCTTAAAAGTTTGATGTTTTTCTGCAGATGTGCACTTAAAACATCTTTGGAAAAAAATTAGAAGTTGAGATGAAAAGCAGTACTACTAAATTGAGGGTGACCCAGTGTAAACAGATAATGACTTCACAAGTTGCTTTGATACTTGGGGCAAGTGTTCAGTGCAAAACATGTTGAACATAGAAGGTGCTTTTCTGTCCTTTAATGTATTTTAATCGTGTGTTGTTTGTTTTTTTTTTAATTAAATTGAATATAGGGAAGGAGTGTTAACATCAGTAGAATATAACTTAAGAACTAACTTTCTAGTGACATAGATACCATACGGTATTTTTAGGTGGACTGATTTGATGGTTGATTCGTCTTCTGTACGCATCAATTAAATACCCTGTGTTGATGACTTTTCTTCAGACTCTGCGGATCACTACCAGGAAGACGCCTTGTGGTGAAGGTTCCAAGACCTGGGATCGTTTCCAAATGCGTATCCATAAGCGGCTCATTGACTTACACAGCCCTTCTGAGATCGTGAAGCAGATCACTTCCATCAGCATTGAACCAGGTGTAGAAGTTGAAGTTACTATTGCCGATGCCTAAATGATGGTCATCGTTGAATAAAGTTGATTTACAAATTTTCATCACTGTTTGTTTTCATATGCGTGCCAAGAGTCTTGGGTTAGCCCTGTGATGATTTACATGAAGAAAAGCAACAGAGATCATAATCAAAATGCTGTGTGAGAGGATTGTATGATATTTAAGGAAGACTATGCCACTTGTAAACATTAGGAAGATGAAACTCGGGCATCATAGTTTCATTGGAGGTTGGTGACTGTATGGACATGCAGCACTTAAGTTATTAAAAATATATTTTCCATGAGGATTGTGAGTTTGGCTGAAATCTTACTCTATACCCAGACAAGCAGTAGCATTAAAATTGATGTTTAGGTAAATTACCAAGTTTTCAGTTCTTAGTTCTTGCTATGCAAAGCTGAACTAACACTTGGCGTACTTGGCTTTTTTTTCCCCCCATGTTTTTCACAGTCAAAGGATCCCGAGGATGTTATAAAACTTCACAATTTGTGGTTGAATACATTGAATTTAGCAAGTTCTTTCTTTAGACTTGCACAAAAAGTCACAGAACTAAACTGTGGAGTTCTAGTTGTCTTTCTAGGTTTAGATTTTCATTGATTTGAATATTAAAGGTAATATTAAAGGCAAGCTTCATATGTAAAGCAATAAACCAGCCATTTCATTGCTGCTACTTAGGCCTCTCAAGTTTGGTGGTGGGTTTTTTTTTCTTCTGCAAACTAATCCTTAAAGGAACTATGATTAATTCTTAAACCAACAAGACAAAGCCCCAAGTTAAATGAAAGAACAGTTTCATTTCATCCATTTGAGATCGGATTGCCGGTTCTGCTTCAAGCAGAATTCTAATGAAACAAGCAGAAGTGTGGAGCTTGAGGTCCCATTTACATTTGCTAAGACCTAAAACAGTGGCCAAAGCTTGAGGTTTCTTACTCAAGGGATTCAAGAGTCCTTCATCTGCCGGCTTGTCTTAATTTCATTAAATGTAAAGCCCTAGGAGGATTCTGTCCCTCTAGTTAGCAGGCTCAAGAGCTTTGGTAGAAGGGAGAGGTGAGAAACTTTTTTACATGCACAGATTGTGACAAGCCTGCTTCCTCGGGAAATCTGAACTGACTGAGCAGAGAAAAAACCCCTATGTCTTCCCAAAGGGCAGTTTCTGCTAATATGTTATAAACATGAAGCTGCCTGACAAATACTCCTAGCCTTAGTTTTAAAATTATTTGTATTTTATGGGGTGCTCTGAAAAGCACGGTAGGAGCTTCGTGACACTAGGCAGGTTAAAATGGGCTAAATGGGCGAACAAGTGACAGACCAGAAGTGTTAGTAGCTGAGGCTGACTGACCTTTGTGTATGATTAGCTGTTAACTTTCATAGAATCATAGAATCATTATGGTTGGAAGAGACCTCAAAGATCATCAAGTCCAACTTTCACACAAGCAGTCTTCCCTCTGCCTCACCCAAGAGCCTTCTGACTGAAAGCGCTTGGAGGGATCAAGGGAGGGCTGGCTGGCTTTAGCATCATTTCTGTCTTTGGTCTTTCCTGCCAGTCCAAACCGATCGTGGTGGAAATAGCTTTGTATCGGCTCACAGCTGGCTGCATCTCTGACTTCCATGGTGCCCCTTGAGCATAGAACCTGAAGTTCCATCTATGTTCTTCGAGCAGCTGTGGCATTTAAAAAAGTTTTCTGTGGGCTTTTGAGCACGTATCTTTCTTTTCACTTGCCACTAACTTAAGGACAAATACAACTTCACCTTTGCAGCTGGGTTTTGTACTACGCGGAAGGAGAACTGCTCTCCGTGCCCCTGACGAGAGGAGCTCACAGGCGGAGGTTTTCCCGCCCTCGGGTCGCCTGGGGGAGGTGAGGAGCCGGTCCCGTCTCTCCGCTGGGTTCACCCCCCCTCCCCGGGGGACGCTTCGTGTAACCTCAACATTTTGTCATTTATTTTGTACGACAATACCGCTTAGTGTCGAAACGCTTACATAACACCCATGATAACTTTATATAACTGTTTTGATGGAAACATTCAGG